CAAGAAGCTACTAGTAGCTAGAAGCTACTAGGTTGGAGGCCATCGCTACTAGTAACAAGAAGCTACTAGTAGCTAGAAGCTACTAGGTTGGAGGCCATCGCTACTAGTAGCAAGAAGCTACTAGTAGCTAGAAGCTACTAGGTTGGAGGCCATAGCTACTAGTAGCAAGAAGCTACTAGTAGCTGGAAGCTACTAGGTTGGAGGCCATTGCTAGTAGGTTGGAGGTAAATTTTGCCGGGTTGCCTGGACGCCAGCTCCAGACATAAACTGGCGCCGAATTTGCTGAATCGAACCAGCGGCCTAACAAGAGGTGACGCCGCCAAACGACAGGTGGTCCAACAGCGAAGAGAGGTCGGAGGCCATCGCTATTAGGTGGCCATCGCTATTTGGTATAGGAGGCCATCCCTGCTGGGTTGGAGGCCGCGGCCATCGCTATTAGAAACAACAATTTTGAATCATCTTGTTGAATTCTAATTGATTCTAATGAAATTCTACTAGTAACAATGTTTGCTATTAGAAACAAGAAGCTACTAGTAACAAAAGCCACGCTAGTAGTAACCAGTGCCTTACTACTAGTAACAATGTTTGCTATTAAAATTAAATTGAATTAAGTTTTAATTCTAATTCTTCCGAATTCTTGTTTATAGCTTCTTGTTCCTAGTAGTAAGGCCAGGAGCCCCTAGTAGCGATGCCCTTTGCTCCGAGAGCTTGATGTGCAAATGTGAGAGATGTAGATGAAGCAAAGAATTGTTCCTAGTAGCGTCCTTGTTACTACTAGTAAGGCACCTGTTACTACTAGCGATGCACTTGTTACTAGTAGCGAACATTGTGAACCTCTAACTTGCCCTGTCCTCAAGAACGACCCTTTGCGCAAATGCTCTCGGGAAAAAACAGACACCTGCTCGCAGAGTGGAACGGAGACAAGCCGACACTGCGAAACTGTGGAAGGGACAAGGACGATAAGCTGCAGAGCGAGGTTCTACTATCAAGCGGAAATTGCCTTGAAGAACCCTTGCTGTATGAAGAGTTCCTGGGTCTCTAGGGAAACGATGGATAAGAAAAAGACCTGCACCTGCAAAGAACAATGATGGCTGATCTGCGACTTCTAGACACAAGTCGGAGCAAGCTGGCCCGAAGGGCACCTGGACCTCCAAGTCTAGCATCCTTCGCCCTGCTGGCGAAAAGTAAACCGTGCTTCCGACGTCTTACTAGCAGCTTCCAATATCTACTGCTAGCTGAAATCTTACTGGTCTTAATTACTACACTTACCGGTCGCTTCCTCTTCTTACCTGCTCAATTAGCTTGGACAAGCGGAGGAGCCGATGACTGCTTTCAGAACCGAGGAGAGAGGAGCCAGCGCTGCGCGGATTTCTCGGACAGTCGACGCTACTTGAAGCATGAGAGTGTTTTGAATGTGCCCT